CTGTCTCTCTCTCTCTCTCTCTCTCTCTATATATATATATATATATACGTCTATCTTTTGTCTTTCCCTCTCTTATGTTTGTATTTCTCTATATCTCCCTACCCCCACTCTAGCCTTCGCCCCTCCTTTCTCACCTTCACCCCCTCCCTTCCCCCTCCCTCCCTCCCTCTCCCCTTCCTCCCTCCCTCTCCCCTCCCTCTCTCCTCCTTCCCTCCTTTTCCCTCATTCACCTCCCTTTCTTCTCCTTCCCTCCCTCTCCCCTCCTTCCCTCCTTCTCTCCCCCTTCCCTCCCTCTCCCCACCTTCCCTCCCTCTCCCCTCCTTCCCTCCCTCTCCCCTCCTTCCCTCCCTCTCTCCTCCTTCCCTCCCTCTCTCCCCCTTCCCTCCCTCTCTCCCCCTTCCCTCCCTCTCTCCCCCTTCCCTCCCTCTCCCCACCTTCCCTCCCTCTCCCCTCCTTCCCTCCCTCTCCCCTCCTTCCCTCCCTCTCCCCTCCTTCCCTCCCTCTCTCCTCCTTCCCTCCCTCTCTCCTCCTTCCCTCCCTCTCCCCTCCTTCCCTCCCTCTCCCCTCCTTCCCTCCCTCTCCCCTCCTTCCCTCCCTCTCCCCTCCTTCCCTCCCTCTCCCCTCCTTCCCTCCCTCTCTCCCCCTTCCCTCCCTCTCCCCACCTTCCCTTTCTTTCCATCTCCCCCCCCCCCCTCGCTCCCCTCTTCTTCTATATCATACGTCGTCTATGAAAACATATGACGTCACAGATCGGTTGCGCGCAGGTACGAGACAGCGAGAGTGGCAACAGACCCGCGTTTATCAGAACGGAACGGATAAAAAAAACCACCTTATTAACTTTGCGGTAGCGGTTTCGTACAGTTTTATGAGTCTGTGGATATGATCAAGGATCGGATGTATGCAAGACGTTTTATATAAAGTCTTGCTCTATTTTCCTCAATTTCCATTCAGAGTGGATACTTTCTAATGGTGTTTTGTTATCGTCGTTTTCTTTATTTTCCACTTCCCGTTTTCTGTGTGTTTATATGGCCGGTGGCTTTTCTTTTTCTCTCTCGTTATTTGGTTTGTCTTTTGAAAGGATTGCGTAAATACAGTAATGGTAATAATAGTAAAAACAATGGTAATGCTAACAATACTATTAATGCCGATGAAAATGGTTTTAAAACTAATAAAAGAAGATAAAATAACCAAGCTTAGGTTGATGAAAGTTTGAATAAAGTTGAAGGGAGACTAAAAGAACTTGTAGATCGATATTTTATCTTTCCCTGCCATCACCGACGCGATGTTTGACGAACTACTTAGCACCATGTTTCACGTCCTCGAGCTTTGGCCCCGAGACATCGAAGTGTTTAAAATTGTCAAGGAATATTTTTTCTCGGTCTACCTCCATCTTGTTTGCTTTCTTTTTCAGCAAAGCTTTTCGAATTGGTCTCTACGGATTGCATGTCCGAGGAATTTGAGTGGTCGCGCTCGGGTCACTTCTCGAAGCTCGCGTCTCTGTCCGGTGGTGGTTCCTGCAGTAGAACCACATTTCTGCAGCCACCCCAGTATAAGGACCCAGTCGACTATTATCACTATTATTATCATTATCATTATTATTATCATTATTATTACTATTATCATTATCATCACTATTACTAGTTGTTGTTATTGTTATCCTCATCATTAGTGTTTTATTACTATTATTTATTGTTTTATTACTATTATTATTATTATTATTATTATTATTATTATTGTTATTATTATTGTTATTATCATTATTATCATTATCATTATCATTATTATTACCATTATCATTACCCATTGCCGACGGGCATGGCGTATACGTGTATGCCATGTCCACTGCGAGTTACTTGCTTGATTGTTTTTACACACAGATGGCTAAATTTGAATTAAGTCACCAGTGAGCCAGTTACGAGTACTGCCAGTCTCGCCCGTTCACCCTTTTCATTGATTTACGAAAGTATTTTAAGGCATCTTATTTGTTACTAATGTTTATAACATTATAGTAATTATAATGTTTATAATAAAAATAACACCGTCGATATTCATAGCACTACTAAAAAATAGTTTTTCCCCGCCAATTCAAGGAAAGGTGGAATCAGGTAAGGTCTCAAGATCTATTAATCGACTAGCACTAGCAGAGCCATCGATGTACAGAGACATTTCACAAAAAAAATAAAAATAAATAAAATCCTCCAGCAACATGAACATCCAACATTCAAGAACATCAACATTCAACATGCAGCAGCAACATTAACATGCAACATCAACATTCAACATGCAACATTAAAATTGCAACATCAACATTCAACATGCAACGGCACCAGCAACATCCCCCCTCCCCCCCTGCCTTCGCCAGCCAACGCAGAAGTGACAGCCTCCCCCTCTCCTCCTGGTCACGCCCACTTGCACATGCTAATGAAGCTGCCCCTCGAAGGTGCCAAGCCTGTGACGGAAGGAGAACCGCAGAAGTGCCACTGTGACGTCACGGGGCGGCGTCACGATGTCTGTTACGGGCTGCGCGTCACGACTTTCCCCTCCGAATGAGATTACCTTTTTTGTGGAGAAGATTGCGAGTTTGAGTTACGTTAGGGGGGAGAGGGAGGGGGAGGGGGAGAAGTGGGAGGGGGTGGAAGAGTCTTTCCTCGGGTGTCTTATTATTATTCTTTCTCTATTTCTTTCTCTGTGTTTCGTTTTCTCATCGTCTCTGTTTCAGTCACCCTTTCTCTCTCTGTATATCCTTTTCTTTCTCTCTGTCTTTCTGTCTCCCTTTTTTTCTCTCTCTCCGTCTCTCTCTCTCTCTCTCTATCAAACAATCTATCGGTTTCCCTCTATGGATTTCCTTCTCTACCTTGCTCTCTCTCTCTCTCTCTCTCTCTCTCTCTCTCTCTCTCTCTCTCTCTCTCTCTCTCTCTCTCTCTCTCTCTCTCTCTCTCTCTCTCTCTCTCACACCTATCTCTCTCCTTCTAAACCTCTCTCTCGCTGAATTCCACGTGAATATCCTGGACCGAAATATCTCCTGTTACTTTCCCTCTCAGAGCTGCGTCCTCGTTTTTTGTTCTGTTTTGCTTGTTTTTTTGTTTTGTTTTTTTGCATTCTCTCATTTGCATTTCTTTCTTTTCTTTTTCCTGTCCGTCTGTCTGTATGTCTGTCTGCCTGTCTGTCTGTCCACCTATCTGTCTGACTGTCTTTCTATCTATCTTGCATTCTCTCATTTGCCTTTCTTTCTTTCCTTTTTTCTATCAGTCTATCTGTCTGTATGTCTGTATGACTGTCTTTCTGTAGACCTATCTGTCTGTCTGTCTTTCTATCTATCTATCTATTTATCTGTCTGTCTGTCCATCTTTCCATCCATCTATCTATCTTTATCATCATTATCTTTTCACTGCTTCTTCCTTCCCGTTTCTTTTACTTCCTCTTTTCTTCCCATTTTCTTTCTTCCTGTTTTCTTTTTTTTCTCTCTCTCTCTTTCCTTTTTTCCCTCTTTCTTTTTTTCCGTTTTCTTTCTTTCCGTTTTCTTTCTTCCCTTTTTCTTTCTTTACGTTTTGTTTCTTCCTTTTTTCTTTCTTCCATTTTTCTTTCTGTTTCCTTTCTTTCTGTTTTCTTCCTTTCCTTTTTCTTTTTCTTCCCTTTTTCTTTCTTCCCTATCTTCTTCCCATTTTCTTTCTTCCCTATTTTCTTCCCATTTTCTTTCTTCCCTATCTTCTTCCCATTTTCTTTCTTCTCTGTCTTCCCATTTTCTTCCCCATCTTCCCATTTTCTCTCTTCCCTATCTTCTTCCCGTTTTCTTTCCTCCCTATCTTCTTTTTCTGTCAATCTACTTCCATAACCGTTCTGCAATGAGAGGATATTTGAGTTGGAGTAAAACGTATCTGCTTCCGGTATGTTGCGTGCAGTCGCAAATGCATCTATCCCCCTCCCCGTGGCCCGCTGACAGAGGGATGACAGTTGCAAGGATGCTGCGTTAACTGCCGTTTTTGCTCTCTGTCTCTCTCTCTCTCTTTCTCTGCCTCTCTGCCCCCCCCCCCCCTCTCTCTCTCTCTCTCTCTCTCTCTCTCTCTCTCTCTCTCTCTCTCTCTCTCTCTCTCTCTCTCTCTCTCTCTCTCTCTCTCTCTCTCTTTCTGCCTCTCTCGCTTTCACTTTCACGCTCACTCTCGCTTTCACTCTCTCTGCCTCTCTGCCTCTCTCTCTCTCTCTCTCTCTCTCTCTCTCTCTCTCTCTCTCTCTCTCTCTCTCTCTCTCTCTCTCTCTCTCTCTCTCTCTCTCTCTGCTCTCTCTCTCTCTCTCTCTCTCTCTCTCTCTCTCTCTCTCTCTCTCTCTCTCTCTCTCTCTCTCTCTCTCTCTTTCTGCCTCTCTCGCTTTCACTTTCACGCTCACTCTCGCTTTCACTCTCTCTGCCTCTCTGCCTCTCTCTCTCTCTCTCTCTCTCTCTCTCTCTCTCTCTCTCTCTCTCTCTCTCTCTCTCTCTCTCTCTGCTCTCTCTCTCTCTCTCTCTCTCTGCCTCTCTCTCTCTCTCTCTCTCTCTCTCTCTCTCTCTCTCTCTCTCTCTCTCTCTCTCTCTCTCTCTCTCTCTTTCTGCCTCTCTCGCTTTCACTTTCGCGCTCACTCTCGCTTTCACTCTCTCTGCCTCTCTGCCTCTCTTTCTCTCTCTCTCTCTCTCTCTCTCTCTCTCTCTCTCTCTCTCTCTCTCTCTCTCTCTCTCTCTCTCTCTCTCTCTCTCTCTCTTCTCTCTCTCTCTCGCTTCACTTCTCGCTCACTCTCGCTCTCTCTCTCTCTCTCTCTCTCTCTCTCTCTCTCTCTCTCTCTCTCTCTCTCTCTCTCTCTCTCTCTCTCTCTCTCTCTCTCTCTCTCTCTCTTTCTCTCTGCCTCTCTCGCTTTCGCTCTCTCTGCCTCTCTGCCTCTGTATATGTATGGATGTATATGTAAATAAATGCATACATTATATACATAGATATATATGATACACATACATATACGTACATATGTATACAGATAGATACACAGGATATATACATATGAATAGATAGATGGATGGATATATAGATAAACAGATAGATAAATCAATAGAGGGATAGATAGATTGATGGAAAGATAGACAGGATAGAGAAATAGATAATTATAAATAGATGGATAGAGTGAGAGATAGACGGATAAATAGATAAAAAATATTAGTAGGAAAGAGAGAGAAAGGGCAGACAAAGACGCAGAAAATATGAATATATAGATAAAAAATATTAACAAATAAAAAGGGAATAAAGATAATATTACGAATAAAGTAAAAGTAAGAAAGTACGAACGAACGACAAAGAAATAACACAGTAAATAATACCGAAAGAGAATTAGAGAAAGAAAGAATGAATGAATGAGAGAAAACAGCAATAAGAGGTAATCAAATGAAGAAAATGACAAAACGGGAAATAACAAGAAAAGAAAGAAAGAAAAGAAACTAAGAAAAAAGATACAGGAAATAAAAATAAAAAAGTAAACAAACAAACAAAACAAAAAAAGAAAATGGGAAAGACTAAAACAGGAAATAACAACGAAAAAACACATAAATCAAACTAACAACAACAACAACAAATCAAAACCCAACCAGAAAAAAAACAACAAACAAAACGAACCGAAGAGAACAAACAAAAAACATATAAAGTTATAACCCCGCGAAAGAAAAAAATAAGAAAAAAAGAAACTCTATTCAATTTAACCCATTGCCGCCGGGCAAAATGAATAAAAAAATTGGGAAAATGCTGTGCTCATTTTTTATTTATTTATCTATTTATTTAATTATTTATTTATTGTGAAATGTCACTACACATAGATGGCTCTGCCTTAGCTGATTTCACCTTTCCTTGAATTGGTGGGAAAATGTATTTTTTACTAGTGTTATGAATATCGATGGTGTTATTTTTATTATAAACATTATAATTACTATAATGTTATAAACATAGTAATAGCAAAATAAGATAACGTAAAAATATTTTCGAAAATTAAAGAAAAGGCTAAACGGGCGAGACAGGCAGTACTCGTAATTGGCTCATTGGTGATGTAGTACAAGTGTAGCCATCTATGTGTGAAAACAATCAAATGAGTAAAGTCGCAGTGACCCGTCGGCAATATATGTATGTATATCTATATGTATACATATATCTATATGTATATGTACATCTATATATATATCTGTATGCATATCTATACGTATATGGTATCTATATGTATATGTATATGCATATATATATTTGCATATCTATAAATATATGTATATCTATATGCATATACATATATGTATATTTATATTTATATCTATATGTATATATATATATAGATATCTACATCTACATGTATATATATATATATGTATATGTATATCTAACTGTATGTATATATATGTATATTTATATGTATATATCTATGTATGTATATATGTTTATACATGTCTATATGTGTATATCTATGTATATATTGCGAGTGTGTGTGCATCCGTGCCCACGCGCATCGCCCGTAGATATGATGCTTGAGAACCACCATCAGTGATTGCCTATCCAACTTCTCCCCTGTGTATGTATAAGGATCATGGGTCAGCTGCCCCATTATAAAGGCCCAGTCAACTACATGACGTCAACATGGCGCTAAGTAGTTCGTCAATCACCGCATTGGTGATATAACGAATAACATTAAAAAAATAATAATATTAATAATAAAATACGATCAGATGTCAGAGACGGAGGGTTGTGTGGCATGAGAGAGAGTCTCGGCTTGTAAGCACCGAACACGAAAGTTCACACAGTCACCCTTCCTTCTGGCAGACTGGAAAATCCTGAGTTTAAGAAAGATAATCTGAGCTGCGCATGTATCCAAGAAGTCAAATACGAGTTAGAAAGCTCTCTCAATGTAACCTCGACTTGGGAGTCTGCCATCCACACACTTATATTCCAATGACGTCTTGAATGGCGTTGCTGAATTGGCCCATGTACGTATCGCCTTGACGCAATGGCACGTGAGGCCTGCCAATACTTAAAAATCAGACACATGAAGCTAAGGCTCGCCTGGGCTATGCCTGAGAGGGGAGCCTGGCCTGTACCAACTAATGCCGACGCGATTAGAGTGTGCCAGCAGGTGCTGACTTGACTGAGCTTAGTCCTTACCCGCCGTGGTGCCCAGCCACAGCAGTAACCTCCAGGCGACAGTTGACCCCTTAGATGGGAGGACGGAACATCAACAAGATCTATATAGGACTTAGACATTAGCACTATAGTGGTCCGGAGGCTCCGGCACAATACACTGAAGCACTAGTAATAGGCTTTGTGTCGCAGCTGGCTGAACCTTTTGGCAACCACCGCCACGCAGCCCACCACTCTGTGGGTTTACCTGCAGGGAAGGGCTCAGAGCTCTTCATTCAGCTGTGCTCTCACCTCTCAACCCAGTGTTCCGGCACCGACACTAGTACGCAGCGGGCTTTGATGATTAGCAGCTTCGTGGATAGGAACAGGCCTGCTCTCC